CCAGTAGCCATTGCCCCCTCCCTGATGATGATGATGCGGAGGCGGGCTATAGTGGTTAAGAATTACGGGAATAATACAACCGAAATCCACACTTAGCTGGTGTGCAAATTTTGTTGTGCATGCGTCATCTATATAAACCATCAACTGCACTGAAGGTAGCTGATAATCCTGAATCCATGGCCAAATTGAAGGAAGAAGTAACAAGAAGCTTGGGCGTTAATGTGCGTGAGTTTTCTGTTCTTCTTCCTCCTGAGCTCGTAATTCTGAACTACTCACGCACATTAAGCATAAATCTCACGCATATTAGGCACAATACTCAGGCACATGAAGTACAAAACTCACGCATATTAACATTACGCACATTAAGTATAAATCTCAGGCATATTAAACACAACACTCACGCACATTAAGTATAAACCTCACGCACATTAATCCACCCCACAACCGCACGGGAAGTCACAAATGCACCTGATCCCTTCGCTCTCTCTCTCTCTCTCTCTCTATATATATATATATATATATATATATATATATATATATATATATATATATATATATATATATAAGAATGGTGTATAGTACATGTAATTATTTTATATATGAATCTTGCATTCTGTAAGTACGTAGATAAAACAATGGATTCGGCAATGGTGATATATGCTACAGAACATCCTTGTATATCAATTTGGATAAATGTAAAGGTGTGAGTTTTTGACAAATTAATTGATATAAAAATAATATTTAATTCATTTTGGTCATGGAGGATTTATACCTGAATTTTTTCTTGTGATGTTGGTCTCTCACATTTGATTATGGATACCAGTGTGGGGTTAGTCTCTCAAATTTGGTTATGGATCTTGTGGGGTTAGTCTCTCACATTTGATTCTGGAATATTATTATATTCCTCGTGGGGTTGGTCTCTCACAATCGAGTTCGTTCTACCCATTGGGGTTGGTCTCTCAATGGGGATATGCATACTTAAGGGATTGATCTCGAGCAAACTGGGTTGGTCTCTGGTTAGTTGGTTTTGGTCACTGGGGCCAAAGTAATGGCTCTTGCCTTGTATTTTTCCTCCTCATTGACTTGGTGGTAAATAAAGAATTAAACCCTAATATTGAGAAAAGTGGTCAAAAGTGGAAGTTATTGTATTTTGTGTTAAATTAATTGATAATATGGTAAATTCTGGAATGTTATATGAATTATAATTTATACTTATTATGTGTTTGACCTGGTAATTGGTAATTAAATGTAAAGAAATGGTAGGAGGGAATATTGCAAGTATAATATGAATAAGGGGTTAATGTGGAATTATGTGCTCCAAGGTGTTATATGCTCTGTGTAAAATATTTTACGGGGTGGAGTAAGTCTTACTAGCTGTTGTATGCTGAGTTTGTCCCCTCTTTAGTTATTTTGCAGGTATATCTTGCATGACATTTGGAGCATGAGAGCGATTCAACTTTTAGAACCTTGGATATTTATTTATTTTTTATAAGCTAATTTAGAAGTTGTTTCTAGACAATTGTAATATTACACTTAATGAACTAGTATTAGTTCTGGGATGTTTTTAGTAGTGTTGTTTTTAGCCTGTGCGTTTGGATATAGGTTGTTATGTAAACGTGGCGGTAGCATCCCTTTTCCTTTTGTTTCGTTAGCTTCCGCAACTAAAAATGGTTTTTAATCAAATAAATTTATTTTTATAAGTTATTTGGTTATTGGAAAATGGGGTGGGGATATAAGGGTGGCCTGGAGGTATATGTTCAAACTGATATAAGGACGGAGGGGAGCTACAAGGTTGGAACTTGGTATAAGGTTGGAGGATGAATTGTGTGTTTTGATGAATACTTGCTAATTGATTGTATTGAATGCCTTAGTTGCCTCTACTTGTTATTTGCATACCTATCTGGCTGTTATGCCTTGCATTGTATGTTTAGGGTGCCTATTAGTTCTTATGATTATTCTATGATATTTAGTCTGTTAATATGCCTTGAGTCTTGATCTTGGATCTAAACTAGAGTCTCGTAAGTATATATATATATATATATATATATATATATATATATATATATATATATATATTACAGTTTCAAAATGTGTTTCTTATATCTACCTATATTGTACTTAACGCGTTGGAGTGGGTTACCAGCATTATTCGCTGACGGTTGTTACACCGAACATTTTTCAGGGACAGTTGAGTAGCTTCGGAGCGCGCTAGTTGGATTCGTGGACTTAGTTTAGATAGTTCTAGCCTTGATGAGATGGCCTATGTGCCTTGATTTGTACTTAGATATCAATTGTGGTTTATGCTTTGTTAGATAGTTTAGCCTGTGTATCTGAGTTCTCTAGCTCAGATGTGACATATCACCCCGACTATTATGACTAGCTTATGCTCTGTTTGGGAAATAATAATTGATTAGCCTTTATTTTATGGATTTTAAATATCTTAAAATTTAGTGGTGTTACAATACTCGTTGATCACATCAGGACCAACCACATACCAATCACCACGGATGAAGATTTGCATGCACCTTTTGCTTGTCAGATCATCAATTACCTCATTCAAGTTGCAGTAGAACTCATATGTGAGCAGCCTAGAATAGGCACAGACAGACGTCACAGTTTTCAGAAGGCCAACTTCACATGGAAGTGGTAGCACATCACACACTGAATTGAGCTGATTCTCATCAACCGATCTCTATACAATCAACTCCCTTTTTACCATCGTATGCCATTTCTCTTGTGCAGTGTTAGAGATAGACATTGGCTTGTAGGTTTAAGTATCTGGACTTTCTGGGATTTTGATAGGAACAGTTGGGACATCAGGGGTAACACTTCTACCTCTTGGCTTGGTAACAATCTTTATTTTCTTGCCTTTGGTAGATGGAGAAACCGTAGGAGCTTTACCCTTAACAGACGATCTCAAGTTCTTAAACACCTGTTGGACAAGAGGATCACTCTCAGCTTTCTCAGTTTCAACTGATCTTCTCTTCTTTTCTGGCTGTGTAGACTCTGTAGGCTCATCACCAGTAGCCACAACCACCATTTCTAGAACCCCCTTTCTCTTGGACTTTTGTGTTTCCCTGACTTGTAAACTATTCGTAGGACTCAGTGACACAGAATTGCTGGTCTCAGACCTAGGTGCAGTAGATGTGGCCATAAGCTTATTGACCTCCCTGATTTTAAATGATGTGGAGTCTGGGTGGGCTGTCTCAGCCACAGATAGGGATTCCTTTTGGCCAGAAGGTGGAGGCTTAGTACCATACACTTCAGTCAGTATCTTGTCATCATTACTGTCTGTTGGAATAGAAGGTACATGCCTTGGTCTTATCACTTTGTAGGGCTCAGGTACTGATTCAGAAGGTAAATTCGCAAAGTGGCGAATATGTTCTAGACTCTCAGCCAGGCTGGAAGATGTATAGACAAGAGTAGCAACATTTGAATCAGATGGATGAGTACTCTTAGATTGTTCAGAAAGGGGAACAATAGACTCCTTAAGAGGGTTTTCAACAGGACAATATCCAACAGAGGCTTTAACTGGAATTGTGGACTCGGGGTCATCAGTAACTATAGTATCAGGTATTTCAGTATTAGAAGTCAACACAACTTGTATTGATCCATCAATATCAGCAGATGTTGGGGCAACTTTATCAGACACAGACACATCAACAGATTTTTCACGCACAGATACATCAACAGTAGACAAACAGGGTGGATCGGCAGATATAATTGAAGTAGTAGGCAACAATGACTCTAGAGACCCCAGATTAGTATCAGTCAACAGAGAAGGTATACCAGACTTAGCAGTAGTAGACAAAGGCTCAATAGGCTTATCTGGTGAAATTTCGATAGGGGTATCAGAAGTGTTTGACCTGTTTTGAAGAACCTCTCTTCTTCGCTACACTTCCTCCTGGGCTGCCTGCAGGTACAATTGTTGAGCATCGGCCCGTCGTCGAGACACCTCATCCCAACCCACAGCCCTCTGTGCAAAGTATTTCAGAAACGCCCTTGGTCGGTTTCCATCCTCTGGTGCGTCAATAGTGGCTGGACTGATGTCATCATCTGCCTTAAAAGCCATCACCATCAGGGTGCTTGTATCTTCATCTGACCAGTGTTCATTGAACTCCGGATACTGTGATATCACTGCGACAATTACTTTATCTCGAAGAAGAGGGTCCTACTTCTGTTTCTTCTTCATAGCTAGCTGGAGAAGAGTATTCACATGCTTTAGGGCACTCTCTAGTGAGTGAACCTTCCTTCCAAATTTGATTATCATATTTTTCACCGTATCGGCCATGTCTGCTAGATCTCTTAGTGAGGGAGAAGCAAACCCTAGACAGAGAGCTTTGGGAGATTTTTGATGGAAAAGGCATAGTTTTTGGGATTTGCTTTGCCACTAAGAGTGATCAGGAGAGAGATATAATCCCAAGAGAGAGAGACGGTAATCAATGCGGCTGACAAGGTTCATGCAGCTATGATGTGATTGACGCAACGGTATGGCTTCTTTTTAGGGATTAAATGGAAGCTTTGAATTTTGAAAAGGCAATTAGTAGAGACTTACTAGGGTAAGATCGTACTTAACAGATAAGAAGAAGGCGATTTATGGAAATCAAATTTTGAAATTTGATTCGAGGCTGTGAAATTCAAAACCCTTCTTCTAACGTACCTTTCCGCCATAACAATCCATCCTACAGATCCCCAGAGCTGATATGAGAATCTCCAACCGATTTGCATCCAGAGGCTTTGTCAGTATGTCTGCCAGTTGCTTATCTGTCTGAATATATTCGAACTCAATCTCTTTTGCTTCAACCAAATCTCTAATGAAGTGATGCCTTATATCAATATGTTTGGTCCTTGAGTGTTGGACTGGATTCTTTTAAATGTTTATGGCACTGATATTGTCACAGTAAAGTGTCATAGAACCTTGAGAGATACCATAATCTAGCAGCATCTGCTTCATCCAGACAAGTTGAGTGCAACATCCTCCGGCTGCTATGTATTCTGCATCAGCTGTGCTCAGAGAAATTAAGTTTTGTTTCTTGCTCAGCCATGATACTAAGTTCTTTCCCAACAAAGAAACATCCACCAGATGTACTTTTCCTGTCATCAATGTTTCCTGCCCAATCAGCATCACAGTATCCAGTCACGCTCAGTTCACTCTCCTTGGAGTACCATATTCCGTACTTAATAGTACCCCTGACGTACTTCAAGATCCTTTTTGCAGCTATCAAATGTGACTTTTTAGGGGCTGATTGATGTCTAGCACACATGCCAAAACTGAACATTATATCTGGACGACTGGCTGTTAAGTAAAGCAGACTTCCAATCAGACTTCGATAGACTGTGGAATCTATAGGTGGACCTGCATCATCTTTAGACAACTTTGTGGAGGTTGAAATAAGAGTCCTGGGTGTCTTGCTTGATTCCAGTTCGAACTTTTTGACTAAGTTCTTAGCATACTTTTTTTGAGAGATGAAGTAACCTTCGGAACTTTGTTTGACTTGGAGACCAAGGAAGTATGTCATTTGACCAACAATGGACATTTCGAATTCTTTATTCATGACTTCCACCAGATCATCAGTATACTTCTGTAGGGTAGATCCAAACACAATATCGTCCGCGTAGATCTGAGCAATTGTAACATGATTTCTAGTGGTCTTGACAAGCAACCTTTTGTCCACACTTCCTCGATCATAGCCATGATGTAATAGATACTGAGTCAGTTGTTCATACCACACCCTTGGGGCCTGTTTGAGTCCATAGAATGCTTTCCTAAGTTTGTAAACATGATTTGGATGTACTGGATCCTCAAAGCCCTTAGGCTGTGCCACATAGATATCTTCGTGCAACTACCCATTCAGAAATGCTGTCTTGACATCCATCTGAAACAGGTGCAAATGTTTCATCATAGTCAATTCCTTCTATTTAGGTATACCCTTGAGCAACTAGTCGAGCTTTGTTTCTTGCAATATTACTGTGGCACCCCGTAAATCCAAAATCTATTTAAGGATTAATTAGATAATTAATCCTAGCTTAATTGGTAATTTATTCCTAAAATCCTGAAAATTCAATAGTCGGAGGACTAGAAATTAACTAGTCAATCGAAGTCAAAGGGTTGTACTCTATGCTTTATGAATTGTTCCCTTGTCTCCTTACTCTTCCCACTTTAGTAAGGGCAAAGAATTCTTTTCACCTTATGTCTGTGTCCCAAGCTAACCTAGAGTCATCCTTCATTTCATTTCCCTAACATCCTAAACACAAAAGCTCCACCTTCTCTCAAGAAAATTGTTAGCTTCTTCTTCAAGCCAAGTTTTGGGCAATCCTAGATCCTTCAAGTTGGTATCCAACATTCAAACTTTCTTAACCTTGAGCATAAGGGAGGGTAAGATCCTTGGTCCCTAAGTGTTTTTAATACCTTTTTAGGTGTCTTTTCTAAAAGATAGAATCTTTGTTGTCTTTTTGTGTGTTCTTGAAGTTGAAGTTGAATGAGAGCTTTAGGAGAAGCTTGTAAGGGTGTGATAAGTGAAGGTTTAGGCTACAAGAGGTAACCCATGCTTTACAAAATCTATTTTCTTACCTATATTATGATTTCTTGACTTCTACTTGTGATTTTTGCTATGAAATGTGAGATTTGATGCATTGTCTTGTGAGAATGCATATCTAGAGCTTGTTATTAGGGTTCTTGTATGTCATTGCTTGGCTATTTCTTTGATTCAAGTCATATTGTTGTATTTTGTGAGATTTTGGGTGTTTTGGACTTGAATTTGGACTTGGTGTTGAAAATCCCCGAAGGGATTATTTTTGGTACAGGTTGGTACCCGCGGGCGGAACGGCGGGCAGTGGCCTACCCGCCGCCCCACCCGCGGGGTACACCACTCGTGGGTATGGTACCCGCGGGTGGAACCACGGGTGGAGGTCCACCCGTGGCCCCACCCATGGGGTACATGTTGGTGGTTGTTCGGGGATTTGTTCCCCGTGATTCTTTTGACTCGGTATTTGATGTTTTGACCTCCCGATGTTGTTTTGTTGGACTATTTGAGTGTCTTCTTGATGTTTCGTATGTCAAGAACGGTATGTTAGGAATCCATGTAGGATTTGGTGTCTTGAATCGTGCTAAGTGTTCAACTTTGTGATTCGTTGAACCATGCTGAGTCTTGTAGGTTCTACGGAGCTATGTTTGGTTTACCCGTTTGTTAAGCATGCTAGTTTGATGTTGAAATGCTAGTGTGTGCGATTTGTTCTTTCCTTTTGAGGATGGCAACTTGTGTTGACCATCGTTGGAGTCGGATTGTAATCTTTCCTTGTTGAGTATGGTTCCATATCTTTGTTCTGATCCATTGATTGATTCCTGTGATGAAAGTGTGTGTATTGGCTATACCTTGATTGCACGGTTAATGGTATGGGACATTAATCACTAAGGTACATATGTGGTCCTCGTGGTGGCCATGAAATGATACTGGAGTTGTAATCTGGGCTTCAGGCTCATGTGTTGGCGGTTGTGTGATTGAAATGAACGGTACCCTCATGTATTGTGAGATCGGTGGAAATGTGTTGGCGGTTGTTGGAGGGGAACAACGGTTCCCAGAGGCAAAAACTTGGACTTAGAAGTACAGGGTGGCAATGTGTGGATGTCTATCCTTTTGAGATGAGCATGTCGAGTAGTATTCTACTTTGTGATTAGTAGAATACACCTCAAGTTGTACTTGTTTATTGTTGTTGTCCTTGTCTTGATGTCTTCTACTTTGTGATCAGTAGATTGCATCTTGAGCTGTGTTGAGTTGTACTGTTGTTGTTCTTGTCTTGATTATAACACCCCCTAAAAACAAGCTATTTAAAAGACTTAAACATGCAGATAACAGAACTAAACAACAGACACAGCGGAAGACTGAAATATAACTAGATAAACATAATCCAAATCACGGGGTGTTATGCCACGTTCACCAAAAGGATGAACGCTATGGCAACATCTGCAATGTTTACATCTAATCCATAGTCTCAAAAGGGCTACAACTAAACTGGCACACAGGCCACAAAACAAGAGGGAGAAGCTACTCTAGCAAGCACTAGACTGCGCACACGTCTAGACATCACCTGAAAGATAAAACATGGGACGACGCCCGGTCAGCGAATAATGTTGGTAACCCACCAATATATGTGAAATAACATACATAAGTAAGATATAAGTTGTAAAGCCATTTTTGAAACGGAATACATATATATAAGTACAAAACCAAGAGTAATAGTCAACACAAGACTCACCACTCTCAACAACAACACGGGAACACACATCCTAAGACCACAAAGGATAACAACAACTCAAAAGGATAAAGATAAGACCAATGGCAACACATGCCTAGGTAACACATGCCTTTGTGACTACACACGTCACAAGAAGAGAACACACAACCACTGCTACACAAGCCCTCGTGACAAGACTCATCACGAGTTGATATGCCTTCCTTATGCCCGGTTCCAACCTTATGGCTACCCCCAACCTTATATCTAGTTCCAACCTTTACCCTCAGGACCCCTGTACACCAAGTCCAACCTTATTCCCCCGGGAACCGTCGTTCCCCCTCCAACAGTCCCTCCAACAAAACCACCGATTTCATAGTATACGAGGGTACCGTACACACACATGGCAACACATGCCTCCCAAGAATCACGTGAACCTTACACAAAGGTCACAACTCCATAATCGCGTCACGGCCACCACGAGGACCGCTGCAATACCTTGGTGACTAGTGTCCCATACCACTAATCGTGCAATCCAGGTAAAGCCACACACACATCACATCACAATAGGGATCAATCAACGCTATCACAACGAAGATATGAAACAATACTCAATCAAGGGATGGATCACAGTCCAACAACAACAACGATGAATAACACAAGTTATCATCAACCAACGGAAGGTACAAACAACACACATGCTAGCATTTAAACACCGAACGAGCATGCTTATCAAACGGGTAAACCAAACTTAGCACGATTCACGAAACCAAAACCTACATGGATTCCTACCATATAGTTCTAGATATACGAAACATCGAGAAGACACTCAAATAGTTCCACAAAAGAACAACGGGAAGTCCAAAGATCAAATACCGAGTCAAAAGAATCACGGGGAACAAATCCTCCAACAACCAACATAGTGTACCCGCGGGTGGGCCCACGGGTAGGCCCCTACCCGTGGTCCTGCCCACGGGTACAGGCCCTTTCACAACGTGTACCCCGCGGGTGGGCGGCGGGTTGGACCCCTACCCGCCATTCCGCCCGCGGGTACATCCCTGTTCCACAATACAACACTTCGCAGATTTTCATCTCCAAACTCGAATTCAAGTCCAAAACATGCCAAATCTCACCCAATACAACAAAATGACTTGAATCAAAGGAAATGTCAAGCAATGGCACAAATGAACCCTAAACACAAGCTCTAGATATGCATTTTCGCAAGACAATGCATAAACACTCACATTTCATAGCAAAACACATGTAGAATCCAAGAAATATTCATATAGGTAAGCAAAATAGATTTTGTAGAGCATGGGTTACCTCTTGTAGACTAAAGACTTCACTTTACACCTCAACAAGCTCCTCACAAGGCTCACCTTCCAAACCCACTTCAAAAACATACCAAAAGATCATAAAGATCCTATCTTTAAGAAAAGACACCTTAGATAAAACCAAAAACACAAGATGAACTTAGATCTTACCCTCCTAGATGCCCAAATATAAGAAAGGTTGAATCTTGGAAGCAACTCTTGAAGTTTTGGCAAGGTTCCAACTTGGCTTGGAAGAAAAGCTACTCACCTTTTAGAGAGAGGGTGGAGCTAGATTTTTAGAAAAGTGTAAGGAGAGAATGAAGGCGGTCTACTGGGTTAGGTTACAATACCAACAACAAGTGAAAGGTCGAGAATACCCTTACTAACATAAGGAAGTGTAAGGAACAAGGAAACTCCTCACAAAGCTCAATGTACAACTTTGACTTGGGGGTTGACTAGTCAATTACTAGTCCCCAACTATTAAATTTCATGAATTTAAGGAATTAAATTACAAATTGAAATAGGATTAATTACTTAATTAATCTCTTAAACGAATTTGGATTTCGGGGTGTCACATCCTCTCCCCCTTCAAAGAAGCTTCGTCCCCGAAGCTTGGGTATGACGAATTAAAGGCAAACGGCGAAAAGAAACAACATTGTGACAAGAGGTTCAAGAAGAAACTCTTTTGGTCAAAACTCAAAAGAATCCACAAGAATTTCAAAGCAAGAAAGTAGGCATATCAATTCGAGGATTGGCAAGGATTTAACAAACGGATAAATTGAGCATCAAGAACTCTAGCCTCAACACAAACACCAATTCTAGACAACAACTAAGAACTGGACAACCAATAACAATTACTAAGTTAAACACACAACAAGGCAGCAAACAAAAACAAGCATACAAGGCAAACAACAAACTACTACCAAACTAACAACGGCTAAGAAGAAACAAAGACAAAGGGGAGGCGAACAGGATAACCACACACAAGCTAGAACTCCTCACTCTCCGACTCCTCGGCCTCCTCAGATTCTTCATCATCTTCTCCTCTGCGGCTTGAACTGGCTTCAATCTAGTCTAACCTTTGGTGCACTGCGACAAACTGCGCCTCCATAAACGCGAAGCCTTCTGCGATCATACTATTCGGTTGGCGAAGCAAGGCGACAACGCGCTCCTGATGCGCCATGGCATCATGCTCCCACTTGGTGCGAGCTTCTTTCCTTCTTCGGTTTTCCTCACTATCAGAATCACTTTCTTCGGCTTCGGCAGCTTCCGGTGCTTCCACTTCTTCTTCTTGGACTGCTTCCTCCTCAACTTCTTCATCACCACCCAAACTCTGGACTGTGAGGCTCAACTTCCCGGCATGAATCTCAAGCTCCGTTGCCAACTCTGCCCTTTCTTCAGTTGTTTTCCTTGCCACTTCTTCAAGCGTGATGTAATCACCATCCTCCAGCTGAAACAGATTACAACTCCGAAGATTGGTGGCACCCAACTTCCCCAGGACCTTCGGAAGACAACCATCCATGCTTACACCCTTCCTAACCAGAATCCAGCTCAACACCATCCCATACGGTAGACTTTTCCGATTATGATCCCAACAGAAAACCATATGCTGCAACATCAAAGCTGGCAAGTTGAACTTAACCATGTTCTTGAGGCAAAAGGCAAAGGTGCACTCCAACTTTCCCAACAACTTGCTTTTGTTATTATTAGGCTACAAACAATCCGATACCAACATAACCAAAATCCATTGCTCTACGGACAACCACTTTTTCTCTGGCCTTGAAGCTTGAGTGAAACCACTCGTACGGCCCAACAGATAGCTCAAATAGTCCCGGTACCCCATGGTATCCGTACTAATCCATGAATGGCCACTATACTGAGCAACTCCTGAAGTAGATAAACTCAAAAGCTGAGCCAGCCTCTTTTCAGAAAGCACAACCTTCACACCTCTCACCTTAGAAGTGATCTCAAGCTTATCACCCTCATTTGTCACGACCATGTGACGATAAAATTCCTTTGCTAAACTTGGGTAAATCTCAGCCCTTATAGCGAGAAGCCCATCCAACAAACCTTGGAATCTACGCATATCCAACAAGGAGTTAGGAAAAGATTCCGGATCAAAAGCTTTACCTTCAAGGACGAGGTAATGGGCATCCACCCATTCCGCTTTCTTGCCAAACTTGACCTTCTAGGCATGATTGATGATGACCCAAAGCTCAACAAAAAGGACCCAAGACTTTCTCTCCTCTTTTTCTTCTTCTTTCACCCTTCTCGCTGCTCTCTGATGCGGCCCAACATAATGAAGATCCATCAAGAGTACCAATTGGGTCAATCACATGGCCCAAGTCCAAACAATTAAGACAACTCTTCATTGGTGATATTCAAAGATGGTGTAAATCCAAGTCAATCCCATTTGCAAAAGATGAAGAAGAATTCAAGGATTTTTATAATTGTTTAAGTGCTGATTTTGGAGATTAAATTAGGCCCAAATAAGCATTATTGTTTTTAGTCATCATTATTTTTAATTGTTTGGCATTAAATAGAAAACAGTAGTTTGTATTTAGAAAGGATTCCTTAAATCCCTTTCTAATAGAACTATATTTACTTGCTTTCTAGATTAGGTTACCTATAAATAGGGCACATCCATATCAGTTTGGAGGGAGGCTTTAATTCAATAAAATTCTTAAGTTTTTCTTTACACTTGTGTAAGAAACCTCATGGCTAATTGTGGACTCAATTAGTTGCTAGTCGTGGACTCGACTAGCAAATTGATTCGTGGACTCGAATCAATCTTACTTTCTTCAACCTTTAGATTTAGGTTCATGGACTCGTTATTGAATCGAAGGAAACTAGATCCGACTCCAGTTGATTGAAGATTGCAACTTCGAGGTACTTGAAGCTACAATGGGATTCTTCCAAGTCTTTGATGATTCGAGACAAAGGGTTTCTCGTGAGGTTTAAGGTATTCTGATCCATCTCTATCTTTGCATTGACAGTAATCTTGGGACAATACTCCATCTTATTTGAATCTTGGATTAGGTTCATATCAATTTGGTATTCAGAGCCTAGGTTTATCTCATTCTTATCTTACATACTATTTTTTTTCGTGTCTTGCATTCTTGATTGTGTTCTTGAATCTTGATACATGTTCTCCAGGTTCTTGAAAAACAATCCCGAAAGAGTTTTCCATTTTTCCCGTCCAATATCAACGAGACCTCACACCTCCTAAGCACCATATTACCAAATATTCTGTCAAGAAAACAACCCAATGTCACCCTTACCTATATACGAAGCGCACTTACGCGCAATCACGTCGCAATCACACCCTGTCCAGATTTCTGTGTTCTGTGACCAGTTTCAAAGAATGACCTATATCTCAAGATCCACTGTTTAGTTTTATCTGAAATTTTGATATGTTTTAGATCTCTTCTGGGGAGGTCTATTGATATATCATACACTTTCTAATTCCTTACGGTCATTGAGATATTGATGTATGAAGTAAGGGCAGCGTTTTTGTTTTTTAGGGGTGATTCTTGAAATTCTTGGTTCTGTTTTGAAGGGGTTGTGTGGATCCTCTTGGTCCGAAATTTTGGTTGATATTTACAGTATTTATTTGGAGGTTACTTATCAAAAAAATCAAAAAAAATCAAGAAAGTTGAAAAAAAAAAAAGAGAAAGCAATAAAGAGGAAGAATAAGGTTGGCGAAAGAATCTGGTTGGTAGGAGAATTTTGGAGGGATAAGGAAGGGTAAAAGTATAAGGTTGGAAGGAGTTCTTGATATATTCTTATTTGGTTGTGGTACACGTGAACCCCTATTATATTCTATTTGTCTCTATCTTTTAATATTGGTCTTGCATATCTTTCTGCCATACTTCCTTTTTTTGTTTTCCTTTTTCTTTCAAATCTTGCTTTAGTTTCTTTGCTTGTATTGTCCTTTTTCTTTACTTCTTGCTCTCAATTTTATTACCTACCTCGCGATACACCTTACTCTCAAAGGCTTGTGATGTTTTCCAAGGTACGTTTTCTTGAACTTTGAGGTTGAATCCATATCAACTTGAATTCCGGACTAAAATTTTCCTTTTCGGAAAAAGGCTTGTGAGAGTATCTGCCTCCTTGAGCGATACACGAGTGGAGTGTGTGTTTGTAAGAGTGTGTAGTGCACCCCTAGAGCCATATAATCCACCTCTTACCTGCGAGTTGAGAATAGTGAGGGAGCGAGCCAACTTTTTGGTTTCACTAACATGAATACTCACATATCTTCTTGTTTTTAGATTTTGTTTCTCATCTACAGATGACTGAAGAGGTTCCAAACACACGTAGGAGGTTAGAGCAGAAAATAGATGCTCTAGCCTTTGCCATGAAAGGTTTAAGCACTCAAATGACTAATCTAGAGCAACACCCTAAGCAGGTGCAACCGCCACTCTATACTAGGGGAAACATTCATGGAAAGCGATGCATTATCGTTATCAATTCGGATCGATGTATGAATTTAGCTAGTGCAGCCATGGTGGACTACCTTAAGTTACCTCTTATCAATCACCCCCAACCATATAATCTTATTGATTCAGGGGATGTGAGAGTAACTAAACAAGCTTTTATTCCTTTTTGTATTGGCAAGTATTATGATGTGGTTCTATGTGATATTGTGCCAATACGTACTGCACATGTTTCACTTGGAAGGTCATGGCAACATGATAGACATTTTTATTATAATGCACTCAACAACACATGCAATGTCACCTATAATAGATTTATACATGTGTTTAAGCCTCTACTTCCAAAACAAGTAGAAGAAATTCAACTGAGATAGAAGCAAGCTCTCAAATCACCCTTGAAGAAAGAAGAAATCAAAGAGAGCAAACTGGAACCTCTACGTTTAGAATTGGAGTCACCACTCCAGTCCTCTAACTTAGTTTGTAGCCAAACAAAGGAACCGCTATCAGTGGTACAGTGGAAAGAACTAGCCAGGGCTATCAAAGTGCAGCCTCACTTGCTAACAAAAAAGGATAATAAGCAAGAGAAAATAAGGGGAGTAACTATTTACTCACTTTTATTTCAAAAGCATGCATTAAATTTCTCTAGATTTGTTTGCCATGTTTCTATTAATGACCTACTTGCTAGATGTGTTAGAAATTTCTTTGCCTCCACACATCCAAGATTCCTTAATTTTGATTTTACTAAAACTTTATTTGATAGAGATAAGGAATCACCTGGAAAGTTATAAGGCACATTTGAAAACTTCTTATGGCAAATACTACTTGCTCAAGGAGTTTTGGTTCAAAGTCAATGGGATTGACATTTTTTGCTTGGATTTGAGCAATGGTTTAATTATTGATTCACATAAGGGAAAATTTGGTTTTCCAAAGAATGATCATGTTTTGCATGGACATTTTCATTGGCCAAAGAAGAAAAAAGATGTAGAATCTTAGGTTCATAATTGTGTTACTTACCACCACAATGCATCTAAATCATTACTTGATATTTCCATAGATTTTGTGTTTGGCATAGCCTTAAGCTCTAGGAGGAAAGATGTTGTGCTTGTTGATAATTCAAACAAAATGGCAAAATTTAATATGTCTAATTTTGTTGAACTATTACCATTCAGAATGTTTAAATTCCATGCTGTGTCATTAGACTTAATCGCCTTACTTGTTTATTGTAGGATGAAGATTGGAGCAACTCGTGTCAAGCATCCCAAGAAGAAGTTCAATGAGTTCCATGACCGTGATAAAACAGAAAATGAGCTTCCTACTTTCTCTTTCATTGAAGATTTGGATTCGAGGACGAATCATTTTCAAGAAGGGGAGAATAATGGGAACCAGTACACATGGAATCCAATAAGGGTGTATAGTGGGCTCATCACAAGGCCCATAACTACATCCATAAAGAATCATTGGTGGAAGAAACAAGAAGGTCCAATAATAACTCCATACGATAGAGGAAAGTATTATAGTGGCCTATTTCAAGTAATATCATGGATCGAAGACAATGCTTACAAGATTCGAGGTAGAATCATTTTCAAGAAGGGGAGGATGATGCGGCCCAACATAATGAAGATCCATCAAGAGTACCAATTGGGTCAATCACATGGCCCAAGTCCAAACAATTAAGACAACTCTTCATTTGTGATATTCAAAGATGGTGTAAATCCAAGTCAATCCCATTTGCAAAAGATGAAGAAGA